TGGGGGGTAAGATTGGGAAGAGTGAGTAGGTATCAAGAGTGCTAAAAAAAAAAACCTAAGAAAGTCAATGAAACATTAAAATAGACAGAAGAAAACAGAAAGAAATTCAGGAGACACAAGTATGTGAATTGGCATTGGAACTGTCATGCTAAATTTAATAAATACTTCAAAAACAAGCAACATATAATAGATCCACAATTTCACATGAAAACCTTTTTTTCTGTTCTTTGTATATGGAAATATTGGTGATTGTTAAATTTGTGATAAAAAAAAGAAAATACAAAAGGAGAAAAATACTTTCCACATACATTCTACCAATTAGAGATTAATTTGAGTTAACAAAATCCTCTTAGTCAATAATAACCCCTTCAGGGGCAGCTAGGTGGTGCAGTGGATAGAGCACTGCCTGAGGTCAGGAGGACCTGAGTTCAAATCCAGCTTCAGACACATAACACTCCCTAGCTGTGTGACGCTGGGCAAATCATTGCCTAGCCAAAAAATAAATAAATAACCCTTTCTGTGTTGACTGAGCCATTCACACTTTAGTGTGAACTATTTCAGCTGGTTGGATGGCTTTCTGTCATAACAGTTAAGAGCAGTCACCCAAAGGATGTAAATTTTGATTAAGAAGAAGATAGAACCAATCAATTTTTTGCAAATGAACGAATAACTGAAAAAACATTTAGTAAGCACTTACTACGTACAAAGAACTAAACACTGAGTAAACAGAAGAGCAAGACAATTCCCGATTTCAAGAAGCTCACTTTCTAATGGAGGACATAATACATAGGGAAAGTTTCAGTTGCAAGTCAAAAGGAAAGACCCAGTAGTCCTTAGGATACAATGGCAATGCAGACGGTAACGCAGCTCATTTCATATTATTTCCACTGATAAAAGCATACCCATTTCAAATGCTGAACCATTTGACAGTGCCAAGGACTTTGGTGCTGGAAACTTTCTTTTCTGGCTCTTTGGTGCTGTGGCAGAAGCAATTGCCGGGTAACGGCTTACTCCCTGGATGACCACTGTGGGGGATGCACTGGAAGCAGCGCTGGTGGTCTTGAGGTGGGGGTAGGAGGACCTACTATTCTCAGGGTTCTTGGACTCAGCGTCCTAGATTTGGATCTGAGCAGAGGTAAGGGTCAACGTGCTTGGATTAACCTGGTATATTCCATCTCCTGTCTGTCACTCAGCCTACCTTGCAAAAGACACTCTGAAGGAAAGTAGACAGATCCAGGTGGGGTGCTCCAGTGAGGGGTTTTAAGCAGCCACACAGCAATATGAAGGCCTGTTGTTGTATCCTTTCAGTTCTGTCTGGAACTTTGCGACCCCATTTGGGTTTATTATTGTATTTGTTCTTGTTTTTGGCAAAGATGCTGGAATGGTTTGCCACTTCCTTCTCCACTTCATTTTACAGGTGAGGAAACTGAGGCAAACAGGATGAAGTGACTTGCCCAGGGTCACACAGCTAGTGAGTGTCTGAGGCCAGATTTGAACTCAGGTTTTCCTGAGTCTGGGCCCACTGCACCACCTAGCTGGGCACAAGTCCCTAAAAAGAAGGGTCTTTGTAAGGTGGGATAAGGGTGCAGAAATGAAGGGAAGAGGCTACTAATATAAATGTTGCCTACATCTGCTGAAGGCTCTAGTGGCAGCAGAACTTTCCAAACACTGAAAACTACAGCATAGAAGCAAGCACACTGGAGCCCAGGGCTCTATTCCCTATTCTGGGCTTTGCCAGTTGGCTTTGTGACTTCAGGTAACTCACTGCACCGAAATGAGCAGCAAGTGCTAAATCAGGGATTCTGAATCTGGGGTCCATAGATCCCTTGAGCCCATGGATAGATTTCAAGGGGTCTCTAAACTTGGAACTTTTATTATTTTTATACTCATATTTCAGTATAATTTGTTTACTTAGGAATCCTACGCATTTTATTTTACGTATTTAAAAGCATTATTCTAAGAAGATGTACATAGGGCCTCAAAAGCCTGCCCAAAGGGTCTGTGACAAAAAAAAAAGTTAAGAACTTCTGACTTGGATGACATCTTATGTGCCCATTCTAATTCCAGCTCCAATATTCTCTGACTTCTAAGACTAAAGTCATTTTCCAAGGCTTCTTCAACACCCAGGCTTTAAGATAGTAGATTTGCAGATTGAAGAACCCCCAATTCATTGTTTCATATGAACAGTATAAATCCTTTAGAATTCCATGGGAAAATAATAATTTATTTTGAAAAATAAACTCTTAATTTGGTTGAAGATAAAAGAACTGTCTATGCATCAACACTAAATAAACTTCTGAGGAATTCCTCAGACTACAAAAGAGTAATGATAATAGATCACTTTGTATCTTCAGACATATGATAATAATGGCAGTAATAAGAAAACTAGGAAATGAAAATGAAGATAATAGTAATGAGGAAGGAAAATAAGTATTTATATGGCACCTACTATGTGCCAGGCACTTTGCTAAAGGCTATTTACAAATATTATCTCGTTTGATTCTTGCATCAACTTTGGGAAGTAGATGGTATTATTATCCCCATTTTATAGTTAAGGAAACTGAGGCAAAAGTTAAATGACCTGCCCAGGGTTCCAGAGTTATTAAGAAATATTCATATGGTGTTTAAAAGTTTACAAAGTTCTTAGTGTAGTATCTCATTGAAGCCTCACAACAATAGTTACGAGGAAACTGAGGCTCAGAAAAGTGGAAAGAGAGAGAGAGAAGCAAATAGATACAGACTATAAATGCACACATACCTATTAGTCTTTGATAGGATTTTGAAGAATGACTTCATTTCTATAGAAAAATGGACAAAACAGTAAAAAAAAAAGTTTTTGCCTGAATACTATAGAATAGCACCCATGCTATTCTGGTCTCAAGGAAACAGGAGTACTTTCTAAATCAAATCTCCCATTTCAACTCCTCATTAATCTCCCATTTTCCCATCTGCCCCAATGATTTTCCCTCTTCAAATTTTTCTCTCCTCAGTTAAGCAACACCCTTCCCTTATTCCAACCTATAACAATACATATTTCTACCTTTCATGCAAATTCTCAGTCACTAAAGCCACTTAGTACATTAACAAAGTATGTACTCAAGACAGGTAGCTTTTGGAATAGCTCCCGGCCATTCAGATAGATCACTCAGCCCACTTCCTTTCTTCTTCTTCTACTACTCTCCCAATTCATGAAGGGGTTTTTTCAAAACCCCTATTCATTCCCATAGAATGCAGGAAGGTTTCCTAGAAGAGTCCCATTCTAACTGATCCAAAATCTCAGTCTGGAAAAATAACCCCCCTTTTTTAATGGTCATTCCTTACATCAATCTAATTTAGAAATAAAGGAAAATCATAAATGAAAAACAACAAACCATAAAAATGAGTAATTGGGATAAACTCAAGATTTATGGGATAACCTTTTTTTTAATAGGCCAGTTCTGCGATTTTATCTTTATGGGGAAATCCCTGTGTGAAAATTCCAATGCAGATGTGTAACATCTGCAATTTGTCCTCAGAAGAGAGGTCTGAACTGGTTCTGCCATTTACTTGCTATGTGACCTTGGGCAAGTTACTTCCCTCCTCAGGACTTCAGTTTCCTCATCTACAAAATTAAGAAATTAGATCAGGAGTTCTTAGATTTCAGGATATCTGTGAACTTGGATAGGAAAAATTATGCCCTTATTTTCACTAACCTTTAACTGAAATTTAGTATTTCCTTCCATTGTGAATTTTAAAAAAAAATATTCTAAGAAGGGATCCATAAGCTTCACCAGATTGCCAAGGGGTTGATCACACATACACATACACACACACACACACACACAGAGAGAGAGAGAGAGAGAGAGAGAGAGAGAGAGAGAGAGAGAGAGATTAAAAACCTTTTAGTGCTAACATTCTGTGACTGGGGAGAATTCATTTTGCCAAGTATTGTACAGCTCATACCTGTGAGGTAGTTCAAGGGCTCAAAGATTTAGAGCTAGGAAAGAGCTCAGGCACCATCAAGTTTAACCCTTCTATTTCTAGATGAAGACCCAGAGAGATCAGAGAATTCAGTAAGTGTCTGAGGCAGTATTTGAATTTGGATTTTCATGACTCTAAGTCTATGTCATGAAGCCTCTCCATTCCCACACTGTAAAAGGGTAGCAATATAATAGTAACGAATATACTTTTTGAATCATGTGACAGCCTTTCTCGGGGCTGAAAACTTCAACATTTCTTAAGACAGGTCGGGGACAGCCTGCATGGGTGTGGGATCTGGCCCAGGAGCCCCACCAGTGCATGGGGCCTCAGGAAAGGAGAGAGGCTCTCTCTTCTTCAATGAAAGCCAGTTTCCTTTTACAATTAGACAAAAGAAAAGCCAGGAAAGCAAGAAGCTATCTCTGCGACAGAAATCTACTTATTTTTTGAAGTTAAAGGGAAGAGAGGGTACTGGATAGAGATGTGGCAATCTAGCCAGGAAGATTCTGGTTCCAGTCCCGATGCTGACACATGCTGGCTGTGTAAGTCTGGACAAGCCACTTGGTTTCTCAGTGCTCTGGGCCAGACTCTAACTCTTGGAGAAGGTAACAGACAACTTGCTTTCTCAGAATTCCCACATCTAGGAGACCCCTATATCAGTGAAATCGCACGTGCAGTCCCTATCCTAGTCCAGCTACCGGGAGAGGGGCCCCTTTCTGACATTTTTGGCAAGTTTGTCCAAAGGAACAGAACTTCAGAACCCAGTTTCTTCCTCTATAAAATGAAGCGTTAGTTTGGTGACGCTCAATAGATAAGCCTGGACAGTCTCCCGGAAAACCCCTAATTGTATATGGTGTCAGCTGCCTTAAGTGATCCCGGTCTGCTTTTATAAACTCTTGTTTCTTGTTTTGTCCGTGACTCCCGATAACCTTAAAATAAAACCCTTTACATGTATCTCTTCCGAACCCCCCACCCACCCCATCCCCATCACCCCATCTCGCATCTTGACCAATCTTCCCGGCCCTCCTGGCTCACTCACTCACCTGGTGCCCCGTTCCAGGGCTCCACTGCAAGCACAGGTGTCCGTACCTCTCCAGTTCCTTTGGTTTTCCTGGCTGGAGAGGATCTGAGGAATGGGGGCCGGAAGGGAGGTTTCTAGCACTAGAAAGAACTGACCGCAAATATCCCTAGGCAGTGCGTAGGGATGCTCCTCCAGCACGGCCCACCTGGCTTCCTACGCTTTCAAGTTCACTGCCTCTTGGGAAAGGTGTCGGCTCAGCCCTGCCTCCCATTCCATCCTATCCGTCCCTCCGGGTTGGCAAACAGAATTTCCTGCCGAAGCCTGAGAGTATTCCTCTCACTCGCACGCAGCGGGAGACAGAGGAGAAAGAGGCCAGAGAAAAGCCAATCCCCAACCGGGCTCGCCGCCCTCACTCCGGCTCCTCTCGCCCAGGACCCTGCAAGCTCCGCCCCACCTCCTTTCCTGCTCAGAGAGCGCTCTTTCTTCAATGCGTTTCCTCCCCCCAGGCTTTTACTCCAAGTTCCCACACTCTCGCAGTCCCAGTCTCCAAGAATATACTGTCCCGGTCCTTTGACTGCTTCCCCAGGTCGTCTCTCTGCCCTATCCAATGTCTCCTCTGCCTGTCTCCTGAAACTTAGTTGGGTCCTGGGCAAACATCCCTTACCTGTCTGATTCATTCTGGCACTACTTCCTTTCAAGTCACCTGCACTCTTGAACCCTCGACTAGTGCCAGCTCCTGCCTTATAGGGATAAAGGTTCCCTTATCCTTTCTGTAGCCTGGGATTAGGTTTCTCAACTGAGAAACTCAGAGTGACGCTTTCCTTGTGGATTTTAGAAGTCTGGCTTTGGCCCCAGGCTCCTCCTGCTTCTTGAGCAGGCCTGCGGGCTTGCTGCCTGCTGAGCTGGCGGTCTCCAGTAATTCCCGCTGAATTTAGCCGAGATGTGGTACCCAAGGGAGTCCTGCTGCATCTTGTGGAAGTGTCTCTGCCGTGGAGAAGGACTCAATTTTGAGCATCAGCAAGGAAGGAAGAGGGACTGGAGCCCTTGCCTTAGGACTAGTGGCCACGAATGGGGAAATATTTTCTTATGAAGGACGCCAACGCTTTATAGGACCATTGCAGGAAGGGATCAGGGGAAATTGGGGGAAATAATCGAATTTGTTTTAGTGGCAAGAGCACTGCACATGAGGGTAAGGAGACCTGCCTTGGATTCGGCGCTCTGACATTTTGCTAGCTAAGTAACCACGAGTGAGCAACCCCGCATCTCTATTCCTAATAGGCGGCTAGGTGGCTTAGTGGACCGAGTGCCGTGCCTGGAGTCAGGAAGACTGATCATGAATTCAAATCTGGCCTCAGACACTTAACTAGCTGTGTAATCCTGGGCAAGTCACTTAACCCCTCAGTTTCCTCATTTGTAGAAAAAGCTGGAGGAGGAAATGGGAAATCACTCCAGTATCTTTGCCAAGAAAACCCCAAATGCGGTCATGAAGAGTGAGACACCACTGATGGTGGAGAAATAATACTTGCACTACCTACACAATGGATATTGTGAACAATATCATTGTAAACTTTAAAAGACTATACGAATATAAATTATTATATATGCAAATTTATAACTTTATTTCCAGCAGTCAGAAGTAGCTCTTTTTGAAGCTTTCAGCATACTGTAATAACTTTCTACTTAAAATCATAGATAAATGAATAATTGTTAAGACCTCCTCCCCTTTTAACTAAGTATCCTCTAGGGGTACTTAACTTACCAAGGCAAGTTTTTAGAGAGATTCCAAAGTCAGGTAGGAAAAGAATAGTATGAAATGGTGTTAAGAGTATTGAAGTAGGGGTGCCTGGAGATCTGGCTTCCCATCACTGATTTACAGTATGAACAACATATCTAAACTAACTGTCCAAGTGCATATCAGTTGAGCTGGAGTTCTCAAACTCTGGAATGACAAGGGAAATGAAAGGAGCAAGGAGTAATATCTGCCTAAATGATTGCTGAGAATTACCTGAGTCCATAACAAGAAGGGACAACAAGAAGTCACTTCAAGGACATAAAAAAGTTGGATTTCATGTCAGGCTGAAGGGAAATGGCTGGCAATCAAGCACAACAAAAATGGTCAGCAGATAATGGCTCTTGCTGAGAAGAGAGGCAGCTTGGCTTTATCAAGACCTCATTTCCTTCTGGAACAGGGTTGCCAAACCCACTGATCAGCGAATGCTGTAGAGACTACCTAGATTGCAGCAAAACATCTGATGACCTAGTATTCTTTGTGGAAAAGATGGAGAGATGTAGACTGAATAACAATATAATTCACTGGATGTAAAATTGATTGAATGTTTTTTTCTGACAATTAGATCAGTCCATACCTGGAAAGAAGTGGAAGGTCTTCAAAAAGCTGGATGAGGACTTATGGAGAGGAGCCTATGGAGAGGCTTCCTTTTCTGTTATGGATTAGAATGATTGCTGCTGAAGTCTCTTCCAACTTTAAAATGCTGTCATCATTCTGTGAGTAAAGAAGATTGGGGGGGAGACAGAGAGAGAGAAGAAGGAGGAAGAAGAAGAAGGGAGGAAGAAAGGGAGAAAAAAAGAGGAAGAGAAACATACTTTGAAATCAATAGAGGAGAAAAGAAAGCATCTAAAGAAATTAGTGAAAGGAAGATAAGAGAGTAGAGATAAAAGACTCAGTGTTAATAGAACCCAAGTCCCAGAGAAAAAAGTATAAACTCAGGTGGAGCAAATAACAGATCCTGAAATACAATATTTTGAAAGGTGTGAAAGGGGAAAGAAAGGAGAGAATTCAAAGGAAGTCTTAAAGGACTAAATAAAATCCCACAAACATGGGAGATGGCAAATGTAGCCATTTCAAAATGTATTCCTTAGAAGCACTGAGAAAACATAAACTAGATTCCTTTTAGGATGGCCCAAAATTGACTATGAAGTGGAAAGTTGGTTGTGCCTGGAGTACATGAGCTCAGGGTTCTTCAAAATGATTAATAGGGGTGGAAAATATTTTCAGGTTGGAATGTATGTTTGGTATGAATATTTCAAAAATATGTAGGACTTTGTTAGGAGAAATGCATTCAAAGGCCAAAACTGGAAAGGGGCAATTCAGATGTTTATGTGTGTGAATTCTCCTCAAAAGAACTAGGAAAAGAAAAAAAATAATCTTAAATGATTTTTAAATGAATGTGGCACCTTTTTTTTCCATGGAATAAAAAGATGGGGTTAACTTTCTTTCTTTTAAAAATTACTTTGTCTAAATAAGATTTCCCCCCCTTCTACCTCACATCTTTTGTGGATTTGCCTTCCCCTATCCTCTTAGATGACCTGGAATTGAACCCTCTCTTGTAACAAAGTAAAACAGCTTAGCTAAAACCATCAAAACTGGGATTGAATCTGACTATGAATCTATCTATACACGTACACACACACAAATACAATATTGTGCCAATGTCATCTTCCACTTCTTGTATTTCACCAAGTCTGGACCTAAAAATGGTTAACAGAATTCAATTTCCATTTTAGTGGTATCTGCATTTACATCACTATAGTCATTGTGTTCTGGTTCTTATGACTTCACTCTGCATTGATTAGTACAAATCTTTTCATGTTTCTCTGAATTGTGCTGAATTAGAGCAACTAGGTGGCACAATGGATACAACTCTGGCATTGGAGTCAGGAAGACCTGAGTTCAAATCCAGTCTCAGACATTTACTAGCTGAGTGAGCCAGGGCAAGTCACCTTTTTGCTTTGCTTTCTACTGTTTGCTTCTCTGTTTGTTTCACTTTCCTTTGTTTTCTTCACTTTCCTTATCTGTAAAAGTGGGGATAAGGTAGATAGCACCTACTTCCTAGTAGTGTGGTGAGGATAAAATGAAGTAATAATTGTTAAGTGCTCAGCACAGTGCCTGGCACATAGTAAGTGCTATATAACGGTTAGCCATTATTCTTCGGATTTATTATACCATAGTCTGGCCCTTCCTCAGTTGATAGAGAAGAGGAATAATGACTTTATTTCAGTTCTTTGCTACCATAAAAGTGCTTCTATGAATTTTTTTCTCATTGATATTTTTTTCATGTTGTTAATATTTTTGCATTTTTGTTATTTGAACCTCAACTGAGCTCTCACTGAAGCACCATAATTATTTTACTCTTCCCTAACTAATAATCTGTCCCATTCCCTACAGAGGCTATTCCAAACCTTCTATTCTCTCTCCAGGCCCTCCCCATCCTATCATCTGAAAACTTGCTTCATACTTTACTGAGAAAATAGAGACCATTCTCTATGAACTTCACTTCTTTCCCTTCTCAAAAGCATAGGGATGCTTAACCTGGGGTCCAAGAACTTGCTGTTGTTGTTTTTTAAATAGGATAACTATTTTTATATAATTGGTTTCTGTTACAGTTCTGTGTGTTTTATTTTGTGCATCTAAAAACATTGCTTTGCAAAGGGGACCTTGGGCTTCCCCAGACTGCCAAAAGGGTCCATGACACAAAGTTAAGAACCTCTGTGTTTGGGCCATCGATTTAGAGCTAGAGGACACCTCAAAGGTCATCTAGTCCAAACTTCTCATTTTATATACGAGGAAAATGAGGCCCAGAAAGGTTAAGTAATTTACCCAAGGTCACGCAGATAGTAAATGACAGAGAGGCAGGGTCTGAACCCAGGTCTTCCAACTCTAAAGCCAAGATTTTTCCACTATATCATGCTCATTCTTTCCTTTCCTGCAGTGTCTAAGGAAGATGTGATTTTTTTTCTTCTTGACAAGGCCAAGAACTTTACATGTACTCTTGAACTCATGCCTTCCAGTTTCCTTCCATAGAGTACATTTCTAATCATCCACCCTCTCTATATATAATATTCTGTTGTCTTCTTATCTAATGACTCCTTCTCTGCTGTCTACAAACACAATCAAGTCTTGCCCCCCCAATTCTGAAAAATCCCTTTCTAGAACCTACCTTCCCCTCAAATTATTGTCCTATTCTTTTTATCCTTTTCCATTGAAATTCTAGAAAAGTCTTCAGGGGAGGGGAACCTGTAGCCTCGAGGCCACAAGTGGCCCTCTAGGTCCTCAAGTGTGGCGCTTTGACTGAATCCAAACTTCACAGAACAAATCCCGTTAATAAAATGAACAGACTTGTAAAGGCCACAGGTTCCCCACCCCGATACCTGTTAACCTCTACTTCCTTTCCTCTCACTCATTCCTCAACCCTTTGAATTTGGTTTCTGACCTCATCACTCAATCGAAACTGCTTTCTCCAAAGATAACAAGATCTCTTAATTGGCAGATCTGACTCTGACTAGGGCATCCTGGGGCGTTTGCACTATTGAATACTTTGTCCTCTTCTGTATTTTCTTTCTTCATTT